AAACTTTTCTTACAAGTTTTTAAAATGAGTTTCTCATCTAGGATAGACTATCAAGTTTTCATAGTTGACTATATTTTTATTTAAATAGTTTTTGAAAAGGTTTAACAAAGGAGAAATATAATCATAGTCGACTAAAGTTTCTCCATAATTGACTATAGCAGTTCACACTTCATTTTTTAAAAATTTTTAAAATCCAATTCACCCTGTTCTTGGACATCATTGTTGGTTATTCATTGAACTAATGTTTTTAACATGTTGTTTTTGATACTATAGTTATGGATAAAAATTCAGATTCTTTTTTACGTGCTGGAAATTATTGCTATGGTGGATCTTGAATTAACTATAATTTACTATATGTAACATTTTTAGTTATTAAAGCCACCATAGTTTGGATTGAAAACCTTAAAGAACTATGGCTTCATCTTTAATTTTATATGCAAATCATGAATTAAAGGCTTTAGAGATGAAATAAATCATTATTGTGATGATTACTATTGGTATATGTTGATTACATGAATTAATTGTGATTACATGTTAGGTTTTGTGTGGTTTTCAAATTTGTGTGATCATGCTATTTTTTCTTTTTTTGAAAGGCAAGCTTTTTAATTAAGAAGATAAGAAGGGGTTGTTATGCTATTTTTTTTTTTTGAAAGGTAAACTTTTTAATTAAGAAGATAAGAAAGGGTTGTTTACCTTACATAAGAGAGAAATTGTCACTTATAAGCATTACAATGTAGCGTGAAGAGCATTACAAACGAGGATGAAGAGCATTTCCACAAGATGCACCTGACTTTGCTAGCCCATTAATTAAGTGATTCACCAATCTTAGGATATGTACAAACAACAAATTTCTATAGTCCCTTTTGTAAGCCTCTATATGATTTACTATGTGCATCATATTTGAGGAAACAAAGGAGTGGTTTGTAGCCCATAAAATCGTATTTTTGGAGTCATTTTTTCTGATGAGGGGGTGAGAAGTTGCCAAATTATGATGATGTTGAGGAGTAAACCCTTTTTAGGTTACTTTCCTTGGAAAACTACCTCATTCTTACAAAACCACAAAGATCATGTCATAACGTGGGAGTTTGAAAATTCAACCATTCGACGTAAAAGAAGAGTCATTATCAATCATTTTTATTTAAGTGTGATTGGCCACTTAAATGAATCTATCTTTCCTAGTGAGGTTGTATGCTTGACTTAGGTTCATTACAAATAATAAATTCTGGTCTATGAAACAAATTTAAGTTTAAAAATACGGCTAAGGAAGGTGTTAGCACCTTCACGATGTCTATTTAAAAAATGGTATCAATTAACCATGTGCTATATTATTTTTAACCTTGATAAATAAACCTTAATTTCATATTTAATTTTATTTCTCAAATTTTTTTATTATAATTTTTTATATTGAAATCCTTTTTTGAGTTTTCCCACCACTTTGGTGAAAACTAAGAAATTTTGTTTAGAAACTTTTCTTGAGTTTTTCCACCACTTTGACTAAAATAAAGAATTTTTTAGAAATTTTTCTTGAGCTTTCCCACCACTCTGGTGAAACACAAAACTTTTTAAAAATCTTTTCTTGAGTTTTGCCACCACTTTGGTGAAAACAAGAATTTTTTAAAAAAATTTTACTGAAATTTTAATCCCAACACTTTAGTGAAATCCAAGAATTTTTTCAGAAACTTTTCTTGAGTTTTACCAACACTTTGAAAAAATAAAAAAATTTCTAGAAATTTTTGTTTAGTTTTCCCTCAACTTTGGCGAAAACCATCCTTGAATATTTCTGCCACTTTGGTGAAAATTAAGAGTTCTTTTTATAAGTTTTTATTAAAAACTTTACTTGAGTTTTTCCACCACATTGACGAAAACTAAGAGAGTTATCTTTTTAATTTTTTTTAAAATTTTTATTATTATTATCATGTTATTTAGATTTATTAATTAATAATTTATTTGCATGATTTCATCTTTCCTAAATAACAATTTTTTATGTAAGTTTATAAGTTTAAAAATGTACCTAAAAAATGAAAATAAACAACTAATAAGTAACTAAAAATGAAAATAGAAACAAAGAAAAAAAATTAAAAAAACATAAAACAAGTCAAATTAAATAGTCCAAAAAAGTGGGTCAAACCTAAATGGGTTTACAACCCAAATCAAAGGTGGCCCAAAGCTTTGAGGTAAGACCTTGCCCGTTTCCTCCTTCTCTTTCTTTCTTTTTTTTTTCCCTCTTCACCCCAAAGCTATTATTCATATTTTTTCTTTTTTTTTTCAAAGATTTTAGAATTTGTTGCTAAATAATTTAGATAGCCAACTAAGTCATTTAGTGAATCTGCGTTTTTAATAGAAATCTTAAACTTGACTTAGACGCATTAAAAAAAGGAATAAAGGTATGCGTTTTACTTTTAATTTTATATTCATATCTTTTATTTTGCATTTGGCTTTTCCTTTCCTAAGATTTATTTAGCTTTTTATAAGTCTTATGGTGTTTGATATTATCCTAATATTCTTATCATTATTGTACCTTACTTCTTTTTTTAAGTACTTCATTATATATATATATATATATATATATATTGCATTAAAAATGAAACCTTTTGTGTTGAAATTTTTCTAAGTTCTTCCGACAGTTTTACAGAATATTAGAAATATTTTCTCATTTCAAAAATTTTTCAAGAAATTTGTCACTATAAATTCCTTGAGAGATTCTATCATTAGTCAGATTTTCATTTTGCACAAATAGAGTTTAAATGCATGCGATGCAAAAAAATTATAAAATAATGGTGTAAATTTCAAATTATTTTAGACTTTTTTTTATTTATTTTATCTTTTATTCCTTATTAATTATCCTACGATTTTATCTAATTTCATATTTTTCATTTTCATCTTTAAATTATTTTTATATTCCTCTTTATGATTATTTGAAATTATTCCACATGTTGAAATGATAAATTTTTGGGGACTCTCCTGAGACCCATTATATTATTTCTCATTGGAGAATTTTTTTTAAAAAAAATGCCCCTGCAAAACTTTTTTAAATCCATCACTGAAAAAAAATCCACTTGTCACTTCCACAGCCTTTTCTAGCTAATAGTATTCCATATATGTAACTTACCTGAATCTATAGTTTGAGTAAACAATACACATTTTAAAACAAATATATATATATATATATATTATACAGATTATTTGAATAATTATGGTTTATAATTTAATATGTTGCAACTTGGATTTGCCGCAACGCATTAACACATCATCTAAGACGAGGAGTTGGAATTAAAATTTCAATCTATTCATGGATCGAGTGACAGGTACAATACATATATCAATCTCATGACGCTTAAAATCAATACACTAACGAAGAGACAAATCCCTCAATTAAGAAAAGGAACAACCTTAATTACGTGCTGATAATGGCAGGCAATAACATCAGAAGCAAAACAAAAGCCTCGCCGTTACCATCAGCTGACAGCAACATCCCAACTGTCAAAAAACGTTATTATTCGGATGCGAGAAGGGGGACTGTCGGTGGAGCTCTGCTGACGTGGCTACACAATCTGGCAAGTTTCTGCCGACACGTGTGGCTCCCACAGCCTAACCACTCTTATTAATCTCCAAAAGACACTAGTGTTAAACTAGTAAAAAGTAGGCGCAAATAGTCAAGACCAGCATGCATTAGAAGAAGTTATCGTCTTCCATTAATAGAGAAGTAAAGGGCAAGGTGTGCTTGTTGGTAATCCTCAATTAACTACCTAGTGTAAGAAAAATATATTTATTTTTTCTAAAAAGAAAATAAAATATGTGTGTAATACTTCATTCCGACGAATAAATTCCCTTTCTTGCATGGTCGAACAAAATACCAAGGAAAAGAAAAACCAATTAAATATACGGCACATATATATATATCAACAAAAACTTCATTATGCATGATTTGAACATGATTAGCAATAATTGAGCTAACGTCATTTTAAGAGGACCCACGTGAAGTTGCAGTGTGCAATGTGGTATGATCTGTCGGTGTGTGGCGTCTCCATGGAAAAATGAAAAAATCTACTCAATTGCTGTTCCAAATTTGGTTATTCTGCTCCATCAGACAAAATCTACGGTTATTCCAGGGAAAGAAAACTCAGCGTACAAACTCTTGGGTCTGCTCCATTAATAAGTGAGGAAAGAAAGGTCACCTAGTAAATACAACTACGGGAGAGAGTAACGATTTTTCTGCATCAGCTTTTTGGTGATCTTTTCTGTAGCAAGACAAAAACGAAATCTGACCCTTCATAAGCTATATCTGAGATATTCCATGGAAGATATATATTGCCCAATTAATATCTTCTTTGTCCTCGTCAAAAATGAGTTATTGTACCACATGAATCCATTGCCACCCAATTACTTTGATTGCTACAAGAAATAATTTGGTTCCTTTTTACTGTTAGTGTTTTTAGCAAAGATTTTGGAAGAATATATGTTAAGTTCAGACATAGAATCATAATAAATATATGCAGGTTCTTTCTTCTGTTTTGGTTTAGGTGCAAAACACATCGATTCCCTCATTCAGACTTTACATGTGAGTAGATGAATTACCAGAAGCCAAAAAAAAATATACCAAGTTCCAACCGCTTGCCTACTCAACTACCATGATTTACAGACGTGGGGGGAAAAAACACATTCCCCGACAAAAAGGAAGAGAAACACAGTTCCCTTTCCTCCCAGTCCCACTTCTATCAAACGGGATATAAAAGCATTCTGGAGTTTGGACATGTCTCTCTCCCACTTTTACCTCCTTGCTTGAAGGTTACTTGATTTAACTTTTGTGTTTACTATAGTACCCAAGTGAATGTTGATCATCGAAGTTATGCAAGAAAGGAATCTTTGTAGGGAAAAGTGAGGATAAAGGACCCACCGAAGTGTGGGCCCCATCCCAGCTAGTACTTAGTTGGCAGTGATCACCCCCAAAGTATGCTCCAAAAACTCCCCAGCTGGACTCTACTTAAACACAAACACCATCATACTCTCCCAAGTTCCCAACTCCCAACCCACTATTGTTCACCTCCACCTCCAACATGCCACCTCCAACCCCCACCCTGTTGCCCTCCCTTGCTCTCTTCATCCTCTTCATCTTCTCCTCGTCCACCACCTCGAATGCACACAATATCACACGTATCCTCGCCAAACACCCTGAATTCTCCACCTTCAACCACTACCTCACCACCACTCACCTGGCTTCAGAGATCAACCGGCGGCAAACCATAACTGTTCTAGCCCTGGACAATGCTGCCATGTCAGCTCTCTTGGACAAACAACTATCCCTCTACACTCTCAAGAATGTCCTCTCTCTCCATGTTCTTGTCGACTACTTTGGATCCAAGAAGCTTCACCAGATTACCAATGGAACAGCTTTGACTTCTACCATGTTCCAGGCTACTGGTGCTGCTCCAGGTTCCTCAGGGTACATCAACATCACTGATCTTAAAGGTGGAAAAGTAGGGTTCGGGGCCGAAGATAACGATGGAAAACTTGATGCTGTCTATGTAAAATCCGTAGCAGAGATTCCTTACAATATCTCTGTCTTACAAATTAGTCAGGTACATAATTAATTTAGTTAACCTGTTAAGTAGTGTTGTTATCTTACCTGAGCTAAATTCAGTTCACTACGGCCTTATGCTCTTAAATTCGAGTTAGAATCTCTACTTATAACAGTTTGAGTGAATACTAATTTAAGCTCAAGTTCAATTTGATCCAGGTTTTGAATTCAGCTGAAGCTGAAGCACCAACCGCAGAGCCAAGCCAGCTTAATCTGACAGAAATAATGTCAAAGCAAGGCTGCAAAGCCTTTGGTGACATGCTGAAGGCTTCGGGAGCTGATGCAACATTTAACGAAAACATTGATGGAGGTTTAACAGTGTTTTGCCCGACTGACCCTGTTATCAAAGGATTCATGCCCAAATACGAGAATTTGACAGCAGCCCAGAAAGTGTCTCTGCTGTTGTACCATGGAATTCCTGAGTATCAGTCCATGCAAACGCTGAAATCCAGCAATGGAATTGTGAACACGTTGGCAACAGATGGAGCAAACAAGTATGATTTCACCGTGCAAAACGACGGCGAGGTCGTGACTTTGAAGACTAAGGTTATGACGGCAAAGATTACAGGGACATTGAAGGATGAAGAGCCATTGATTGTGTTCAAAATTGATAAGGTGTTGTTGCCTAGGGAGTTGTTCAAGACAGTGGAAGCGGCAGAGGCACCAAAGGCTTCCAAATCCAAGCACAAGGCTGCAGATGCACCAGAATCCGATGCGCCGGCAGAGAGTGACCCAGCTGATCAGTCGGCTGATAATGAAAATGGGGTTGCGGGATTGGACGGTAGGAGATTAGTGATGGTGTTGTTGAGCTTCTGCATTGGAGTGTTGTTGATGTGAATATAGTGAGTACAGATGTATTCAGATTGATACAAAAGCATTAAAGAATACATTTTAGGCCGCAGGGCACGGGCAATGGGGTCGTTATTCATGTAAGAGATATGAAATTTGCTTCTCTTTTCCTTTTTCCTTTTGTTTTCTTCCCTCTATTTCTCTGGTGTCTTGAGAGCAGAAGAGCAATAAGTGATCAGCCCCACTTGCATGAGTCATTTTCTTTATTCTTTTGCCTGTTTGTCATTATTTGCTTGTATAGAATAAGAGCATAATGCATTTTCTTAGAGCTGTAAATGCAATATTCTTTTCTTCTTATTTGAATTTTTAATTTCCTTATGAGCTGTAAGGAAATCTTTATAATTATGATTTTCATCTGTTTAGATCTAGCATTAAAATATAAATGTGGGACATTGCTGGAAATTCCATTTTCCCATGTCCTAATTAATGCCCTATTTTTTTTATTTCTTTTTAATAAACAACTAATTATCAATTGCTAAAGACATGATAGCCTGATATAATTTATTCAACGATTCACCACATTCAAGTTAGTTTGATTCTAATTATACATACTCACCATTGTTAGACTTGAAATTTTCATTGAAGACAGTTAAAATTCAACTAAGATTGCAGCAAGAAATTTGTCAGGCCCCTGGTTACTCACCCTGTCGACAATCCTCCCTATTGCTCCATTAGTGACAGAGACACTTTTGTAACTTGTTTATGCTGTTATCAATTGTTTAGTTTGTCGTTTTTAGATTTAGCTTACAGTATTTGACATTTCATTCAGATTTGGCTACCTAGTTCTGAAATTATGGTGATATATTTTCATGCTTATAGGCTGTATAAGTATCAGTGAATGAATGAAACATATTACATCAGTTCCTATTTTTTTTTTCTTTATTTCTATTATTCTCTCTTCATCGTATTTAAAATTTCAGATTAGCTAATACGGTATCAGATTAATAAAGGCTTTAAAAGGGGGAGAGTTAAAACCAGTAAGGAAACCTTAGTTCAAGCAACACTCATCCCTTCCTCCAAGCCTTTAAACCAGAGCCACTGCCATGAACTCAAACAGTTTCCCGAGTCACTCACCACCAGTGTTGACGACAGAAGCTACTAAGAAACAAGATATTTTCAACGGAATATTTCATCTAAAATGTTTGAAATTTCATCGGTATTGATATTTACTAATGAAATATTTTGTCAAAAACTTAATTAGGGAAGTAATTTTCATTAATACCAATCTGTCTATGACAGAATATTCTGTCGTTAAATGTCATCGATAATGTTATTGTTCTGTTGGCAATAAAAACTTTCAGTAAGAGGATAGATTTGTCCGTAACTTTTCAATGGATTATTGACGAAACATTGAGTGAACGTCAATAAAATCAATGCGTGAAAAAAAAGAAGAAGTTTCTCGATAAAAATGTCAAATCCCGTGGGCAATTTATTTTAGTTGAGTCTAAAATATCGATCAAATCCGTCGGTAATGAGTGTCAATTTTGTTAATAATGACTCCAAAATCTATCAATATATTCATTGGGAATAAGAAAAGGCTTTTTTTTTTTTCAAAAAATGAGATTGGTTGGTTTTTTAATCCATTAATCTTATTTCTATGAAATTGGAATTCATTGGTTGAATAAAATATAAAATATAAAATTATAATTCAATAAAAACAAAATATACAAATCTTATCTTATATATAATGAATCTTGTGTACAAACGCCTTTATATTGTGACACTTGTGTTAGTCTTTTGCTGGTTTTAGAAGGATAGTTTGGACTTTGTACATGGAAGCTGTGTGGTTTGGTAATTTTTGGATGTGAGGGGGCATTTTGGATATTATGTTTGAGATGAAGACACTACTTTAGGTTTTTAGTTGCTTTAATGTTCGTCTAAATCTAAAGTACTATGATTTTAACTCATAGAGGGCCTTCAAGATGTGACACATGGCATTGTAAATTGCTTGCTGCATGGTTGGTATTTTAGGATTTTAAAGATGAAAACGATACAATTTAGTAATCTCAGTAAAAGTTAGGGGCATTTTGGGTTTTTTTTATTTGCATAGAAAGTGAACACTGATATGGGATTGGTTGTTGATAATTGTATGATATAAAATTATTTGTACTTAATTTTGATAATAATTTAGTTTAGTTCTTGTTGTAATATATAGAAATTAATATGTTTTATTTAAATAATTTTAAATTAATTAATTTAGGTAAGTCAATCTAATCTTAGTTAATTTTATATTTAATTTGGTATTAATGTGATTAAGATAGGTTCTTATTGATTTAGTTGTATTTTTGTAAGTATTTAATGAAAAATAATTTTAATGGAAGAAGGAAAGCAATTTTGAGGTGTAAATTTTTACTACATATGTTTTGGTATTTTGAGTATAACTCTTTCTATATATCTCTAAATAAGTGATTCTTGAACTATTAGAAAGATAAGAGAAAATGCTACAATTTTCATGTTTACCACTTTACTCATTTCGACTTGAAAAGTGGTCAAGAAGTTGGAGTACTGTAGTAATCCTAGAACAATTATGATTTCTGCTTTTTAAATGATCAAGGCCACGGCTCACGTAGTCTGATGAGGAAATCATAATTTGAATTGACTTCTTTCTTCATTCAACTTGACCCAACTTCAAAACACTATGAAACCAACCTTTCGGAGGATTTTTAAAGAAGAGAAAAAACACATCAGCTTGACAGTTGAGAATCAAGCTATAAAGTAATTGAAAGCTGAGAAGAATTTGAAGGATTCAAAAAGAAGATTTGGAAGATCAAGATTATAATCCTTAAGTTTTATCTTTTTGTTATTTTTTTATTTTTCTTACTTTGATGTTATTGTTTAAACCCTATTTGATGATAATGTGTGACTTGATACGAAACTAATTTAATTATCTAACATTATAAATGAAATCAATACGTAGTTTGATTTATTTATCTCTCTTTTGCTTATATTTAATGGATTTATGTTATTTATTTTATTATATTTTTAATACTTCTAATTGCTTGATCACCACTCAAATTGAATTGAAAGCCTAGGTTAAACCTTAAAAAAAAAAATATAAGCAAACCCTGAATAGAATAGCGTATGATTAAATGCACTTACTTGATTAGGTGGTTTGATTTGTATATAAGGTAGACATACACCTATAAGCCATACATGGCCAGGATTAGAGTACAAACTTAATAAATTTGTCTTTAATTTAATTTGTATAAACATATAGTAAATTAATTAGAAGAAATATTTTTATGAGAAACTCGATAGAGATTTATAAATAATTTATGACTCTAAGTTAGCAACTTAATCCATTAAAATAAGTTAAGAAGGAAAGTCAATATTCAAATGAAGTATTGATGGACATTATAATTTTAGGTCTAAAAGTCAATCAAATTTACTAAAATAATTTTATTGGCTAATGTAGATTAGTTTTAGTTTTAGTTTGTTTTTTTTAATTTTATTTTTAATTATTTAGATAAAATTAAGGTATTATAATTTTAGTAGTTATAATAGGACAATGATACTCTACTTAATTACTAAATTACTTGTTAATAATATATGTACTTACGTGAGAAATCAACAACAATTGTTTTGTAATTTTTTGGATTTATGGGGGAGGGTTTCTGTTTTTCACATGAGAGGGAAAAGCTTTGTGGGGATTTCACTTCGTGTCTCTTTCTTCAATGTCCTTCAGGTTTTTCCTCCATTTTCATTATTCTCTATCCATCTCTTCCTCTTTCTTTCTCTCTTTGGTTTTTTCACCTTTTTCATTCTTATTCTCTCTCCCGTTCTTCTTCTATTTCTCTCTACTTCTTTTTGCTCTTTCTTTGCCTTTTTGTTTTTCTCCTTCCTTTATTCTTTTGTTTTTTCTCTTTTGTTTTTCTGTTTTTTCTCCTAAGCTCTTGCTCACTATTGGTCTCTTTTATTTTCTCGCTTTTTTCAGTCTTCTTTTTCGATTTGACTATTGGTTTAACTTAGTTGTGATTTTTGGGTTTCTTCTATTCGTTCGTCGTGCCTCTTCCATTCTTTTGTGGTGGCTTGGATTTGTTACATTTTTTAAGTTGTGTAACCTTTTTGGTTCTTCAACTAGCTGGAGTTCTCAAGTTTTTTGGTTTGAATATTTCTTTCTTCAGTTGCTTTAGGTTTTAAGATTGTTTAGTTTTGGTTCTTTTTTGTTTGATGTCTCTTTGGTTTTGTCGCCTTTTTCATTGTCATCTTTTTATGTGATTGTTAGGTTCATGGTTTAAGTATTGCTAATATTTTAGATTTGTGGATTTGGTTTTTTTTTTTTCATATTTTTAGTTTTATTACTCATAATTTTTTTTATGAAATTCTTTTTGTAGGTGTGCGTGAGATTTGGTGCATTTTGATTGTTGTTATTAGAGTTTATCTGTTTTGCAATAACATGTAACTTTTTAAACATTGCATTTTGATCGCTTTTATCGGAGTTTGTTTGTTTTGCGACAATATGCAACTTGTTAAACATATAAGTTTGAGAAAATTGGTGTAAAATTCATTTTGATTTTGTGGTGTATAACTCATTGAACCACATGCTTGAACTTTCATGTACTTTTCGTTGTTTTTCTATCCATCAAATGAACTTTCTGTGACAGTTTGAATTGTTTGCCCTACTCAACAATTTTTGTATAGCTTCTCATGATATTTGTATGTCATATTTTTCATATTTTGCTGTTAAATAGGTACAAATTTAGAAATTGTAATATAGATTCTAGATATAAATAGATACGAACTTTTTAAATTATAGATCAATACAATGTCTTTATTTATTTTATACATTGCCAAGTTGACTGACATTCTTCACATCAAATAATTTATCATTTTACTCAGTCACAATACTAAATATATTGCTCTGTAACAAATTTATGTTCTAATCAATTATAAATCTACAATGATACAACATTCATTTTTACTAATATTCAGTTTTCTATTCATTTTCTCTTTTGATTTACTTAATAGTATAACATATTTTATCTCTCTTCTTACTAAAAGATGAATTTTCGATCACTCTGTGTTGTATCATCTTTTTTTGGTTAATTTTTTACATCAATTATTTAAAAAATTTTACAAACCCATTAAATAGTGTGAACTTCTTTGTAATATATTAACAAAAAAATACAATTATATTATAAAAAGAATTATCAAAAGTTTTATAATTGTTTAAAGTTTTTACACATTGTGTGAAACCTAAAGCTAAGATGTGTTGTCACACCTCGATGCAGTGTCTTCGATATTAGATGGACCTAGTTGTTGGAAAAATAGTATATTTCATAAAGTTTCAGTATCTCACATTACCAAGACATAAAAAA